TTAGCCCGGCTTTACAAATGTAAAGCATCATTTGTTCAACTAAGTTTGAGAAGGCGGATAACGTAGATGTAAAACGCCAATAGTTCAACTACCGGTGCATTTGTAATGCGGATAAATGTAGCCCTCATCATGTCCATCGGAGTAGTGGAGATTATTAAAATAATATTAGCAAACCGGGTTGTGCGATAGACTTACCTCCGCGTGGTGCGACCTGGACAACGTATACTCATACGCAAAAAAAGTCTATAAACCGGCAGTTGACTTCTGACTTCAAACTACCACCACTCCACTGTATGTCATATTCAACCACTTCCAGAGTACTCATCTTACCTTTCATCTACCTTTGCGTCTGTCACTTTTACATCTTTGAAACACTCTTCTGCTCCCCCTCCTCCCTCTCGACTTTTTTTTCACTTTGATGCTCCTCCTCCCCTCTGTGAAGCCCGAAGTCAACTAAAGGGCTAATGACAACTATCAAAACGCCTGTTATTTGATATAAATAAATAATATTAGGAAACCGCTAAGCTGTATACAAAGCTGCCTTTCAAAGAGCTCGAGATTAAGAGAAGCGCTAAAACTGAAACCACCCCCCCCCCCAACTCCCACTTTCTTCTTTCTATAGAGCCTGCTAAACTGATGTCTTCATTTCGCAGTTTCCAATTTGAAACGAAAGTTTGCAAAGGGGGTTTTCACTTATTAAGTCCCTAAGTTTTGCACGTAAGCCAATCAGAAAAGCATTATGTTTATCACCAATAACAGAAATAATATAATTTTTAAAAATAATATTAAGTGAGTATGCCACTATTAGTCAGTTATGTAATTAATTTAAACTAAAGTATATTTATTTTTATATTCCGACCATCTTATCCATATTCTCAATGCTGAGAGCAACAGATACTGGAGAAGGTTTTTTACTTTGCTTATAAATGAGAACACGTACGTTTCAGTAATATGACGAATAGATGCGTAATTCTGATGATACAATGGAAGATACTCCTTCGGATAGGAAGTTTCCATGTCGCTGCAGTAAATCTAATTCAACGGAAAAGAAAAATAAGAAAAAAATATGGTGTTGAAGTAACAACTGAGGACATGATATAGCTTAACTTACCAACAAAAGGGGTGTGCGAAAGACTTACCTCCACGTGGTGCATCCTGGACAACGTATATTCATACGGCAAAAAAGTCCATCAATGGGCAGTTGACTTCTGACTTCAAACTGCCATGATCCCACTGTATGCCATATTCGACTACTTTCACAGTACTCACCTCACCTTTTTTCTACCTTCGTCTTTGAAGCACTCTTCTGTTCCCCCCCCCCCTCTAGACTTTTTTCCACTTTGATGTTCTTCCCCTCTGTGAAGCCTGAAGTCAACTAAAGGGCTTATGATAACTATCAAAATGCCTGCCATTTGATATAAATAAACTTACCAACAAAATAGTGCGTTGGGGGCGAGAGGGTGGTGTTAATTAAACTTCTTTAAATGTGTGTTTACATTCAGAAGAGAGAGCAATAATTTCATATTTTGTATTGATTAATAAAAAAAAACACGTTCGTAAGTGCTGCAAGTAAGCAGTCTTGCAGCATGAAGGTCGAGAAAAATCCCTGAAAACAGGACTCTTTTACCACCACCTTTGTCCCCCACCCCCCTCCCCTCCCTCCTCCAAAATCGCTTTCATTAAGCGCGCACAACTACTCAAAAATCGCAATCGATCTGCCGCATGGCTGATAACATGAAATAAAATACTGCGTGTTTTCTTCGCATAGGGCAAATAGTATTCAAATCTTCTTGTGCCCCAGTGTATTGTTTTGCCTACTTAAATTTTTCAATAATGCTTGGAAGCGCAGTGTGCAATTTCACTTCATATGAACATTATACAACTATTATTATTCTATGCCATTACGCATGTGGGGTGTGCGATAGACTTACCTCCACGTGGCGCATCCTAGGCAACGTTTGCTCATACGGCAAAAAGTCTATAAACGGGGAGGTGGCTTCTGCCTTTAAATTACCATGACCCCACTCCATGTCGTATTCACCCACTTCCACCACAGCACTCACATAAAGCCTGTCAATAGGTATAAATGTTATTACACACAAATAAAGCACAGTAGGCTAGATCTCTTAAGCATGTAATTTCAAGCATCTCCCATCCATTAAGACCCTACCTGTTTATAATAAAGAGCATAATATATCCGGAGATATACACATAGATAACCCTAATCTCAACATAACCTCGCGACATTTCCTCAAAAACGACGATGAGACTAGCTTTAAGGAATTAAATAGGTTTGGTTACTAGCACAAAAGTCACTATATTTGAAGCATTAACTTTTCAATTTGCAAACTGCTAAGTCGCCTTATGAGAATGAAACTTCATAGGAGAATGGGGAATACCATTACCTTGACAATTTGCCGATGTACAGCCATGTCATAAATGCCATCAGTTGAAGAGAGATCACGTTGTTTTTGATCCCAACAGCTGATTGGATAATCTAAAATAAATAAAAGAGGAAAACAGAAGTGAAAAAAAACAAAATCAAGTCATGAAGACGCGACAAATAATATTTTCGGCGGTGTTAAAAGGCTCAACACGTTGGTAGTGGTGGTGGTGGTGGCGGTGGGGTGTTGGGTGGCATCAGTCAAAAAAAGGGCGTATGTCAACCTGGCATGACAATTGGCCTTTAAAATCAAAAGCTATTTCACGATTGAAAGGTCAAAATCTTGATGATTTGAAAGGGCAAAATATTATTTGGTGATCTCCCGTCCCGGTCGACTGGCAACATCGTAGACTAAGGTGCACAAATGGGGTGCAGATAAATATCAGCAAATTCGACTTAAAGTCTAAATTAATTAGTCTATGTAGGTGTTAGATGTGTAACCTTTAAACCAAGGGAAAAAATATTTCACATCGAATTCAGCTTGTTTGAATAGGAAACTTGAGCCAGTATACTGTGTGTGGTTTACTGTATTATCCAAAACATAAAAACGTGATTAAGTTTGTCTAGAGTAAATGGCATCACAGATTAGACCAACGACATGCACTTACGGGAAGTGTTCAAAAACCAGTGTTCTTATCTTCAAATATCGAACCAATCGCAACACAGTTTTAAATTAGCATATTGCAAAAGTATAATATAACACTATTCACTACACCTAAGACGATAAATCTTTTACCGGAAAGACAGGAGACTGGGGCGATTTGATACGGGAGAACTGTGTGTCTTGATGGAAGTTAGCCAAGCCTTAATTTCATAAAGGCGGTGTTTAAGGAAGGCTTTGCGTGTGTGTGGTAAATAATAAATATCTCGAAAGCGAGAAAGATTTACACGACCATATGAAATCGAAGCAAAGTTGGAGATGGCCTTGTATTAGGTTGTCAATCAGTACTCACTGTGAATGCATACCCCTTGAGACAACGTTCAATATTTGATTAACTGGACATTTCACTGCGCTTCTTTATCCATAAGCTATTCACATCTTAATTCACCTGTTTTTTTTAATTTTCTCGTCTGCGGATTCATTTAAACAAAAATAATGGTACTCTTAATACGACAAGGAAATTTTGTGATATATGAGCATATTTTTTTCTCCTCATTTTCAAATTAAATTAACCAAACTTTGTCCCAAATTTCCAACCAGATAAGTGAAGTTAGCGAACAAGAACCGCCTTCACCCCCATCCCCCAATTCCCACTGACCAATTTTGGCTCTTCCTGTGCCCAAATATTTGTACGAAACCGCGCCAGTTTTTTCCCACCCTGCATGCTGAAATGTGCTGACATATTCGAGGTGTACTATCCAACAACACTGACGAAATGGTGTTATTGAACCGCAAAGGACACGGATTACTGAAGTGTGACACGACGCTTCAGGTGACTAAATTGCGGAACTCCTGTAATGTTTGCTCATAATAGTTTAGGCACTATTAGTGTGCAATCTGAAGAACAAAACAGAAATAGGCTATTCTGAATTATTTTGGATCACACTGAGCCAGAATTTAAAGGTTGGGCTTATGGGGTAGGGGGGGGGGGAAGACGTTTTCGTAATTCATTGGCACAATCGCCAGTTCATAAATGGTACAGTAGTGTAACGATTTTCGCAGACCTTCGGCCAACCTACATGACAATTCTTACCCACCTCTCCAATAAAAAAATGCACAATTTCAGTTACCTGGACATGCATCAGGACACAGACTCCAGGAATCCGGACGGAGATGAGCTTGACACAGATGATCTGCATATTCTCCACCAAGATCATCAACACACCGTACATTTCGATACCTCGAGTGCTTACCACAGGTGTAGGGACACTAAATTGGAGCAAAACTACTCGTTACCATTTCCTCCCTTCGAAGTCAAGTTATTTAACAGTTAAATGCTTACCCTTGTCCACGGATCTACCCTCCACCGATATGTTTTGCATTCTCGCTTAGTACATGGAATCTTGTCAAGCGGTTTCCGAGAATAGGCGCACTCCTTCGGATCCACTTCCTCAAATGACGGTGTTAAGCATTGAAGTTTCCTTTCTTGAAAGCCTCTGTTACAACCATTTGCAATGCACTGAAAAGAGATGGGAGGGGGGGGGGATCACTTGAAGATTAGGGAAAGATAATTTAATTAATTTTCGAGAAACTCACAACAGTTGAAACAACTGGCCACCAAAATGGCCTATTTTCTTGACAAGGTCCAAGTTGACACTCGGTATTGTCTACTGGTCTAGGTTCCGGACACTTCGGGCCGTTAAAACGTTCTCGAGAAATCGTCTGATATTCACGCCTTCGTCGTACTCTCGCCACCATTCTATTCACGTAAAGAACCGTTCCATTAGGGAAACGGCAGTCAACGCGTCGGAAACGCTGTCCAGCACCACAAGTAGCCGAACACTAGGGGAGGGGGAGGGGAGATAAATTCGGTTAATATCCACCATAAAATGATTGAGAGAAAAGTGAGAAAGATTACTCACGGATGACCAAGGACCTTGATACCAATATGGACAATCCGTGGGTAGCAAACAAGTTCGTTTATCCAAAGGTTTTGGTTGTGACTCGCAGGCAGATTGACTCACTTCCTGTTCAATGACCGAAGTACCTCCATCCGGTGGAATTTCAAAACTTTGCCAAGTGGTACGTTCAGGTGAGCTTGTATTAACTGACATCTGTCTCACGCACCTAATACGGCGCTCTTGAGTTCCCAATTCACATGTTCCTTGGCACTGAAAAAAGCAAAAAATAAATATCGTTAATTCCACTTTGCATCTGTTTGAATGAGAGAGCATATGGGTAAAAACGGCAATTTCAATATGGATGACATAGAATTTGTACGCATGTGTAGATCGGTCGGCATTACGTAAATAATGTTGAAGGGAAAAATCTCCGTTTGAGGGCGAAAAAGCCATAGATCTTTTTCCACAAATGCTTTACTACCATCGCACTTTCAATTAGTAAAGTTAATGTAACAGCGGGAAAAAGAATTACTTCAGACCATTCCGAAGGAACCCATTTAACACACGGTGCTGTCTCGCAGAGCCGCATATCAGGAGGCCTTGCTAGGCCCCTAGATGAGCACTCTATCTCTGGTTCCTCGGAGATTACAGTTTCTGCATTTGCAAATACTCCAGTTTGACGTTCCACCTTCAGACAACGAACGGATCGACGCTGAAACCCAATTCCACACGTAGCCGAACACTGAAATAAATAAGATTTAAGTTCAAATTCCCAAATCTTTCCACTTCAAGCAAAATACAAATAATTAGAATGCATGAAACAAGTAAACCCTTAGAAGGTAAAATTAAATTTTATAAAAAAAGTTCTGCTAAAAATTAATTAAAAGTAAAATACTTTAATTTGTTTAAATTTGTAAGTGAATTGTTTTGCTATGGTTAAATAACGTCAGCGCACTGCAACTATGCACGCGAAGTTAGAATGAAATTGAGATGCCAGAAAGAAAGAAGGAAGGTGAAAAAGTGAACATGCAATCAAATACCACAACACGTAAGAGGAAAGGCAATAACAGGTCACGTCTACAGGGACATCAAACCGGACAATTAATAAGGCGGAGAATCCGGGATGTGAGTCTCCACCGGTACCTCCCTCCCCCTCCCCCCCCCCCCNCCGGTACCCCCCCCCCCCCCCCCCCCCCCCAGTTATTCAAATTTCCAATATTAGCTAACAGCACCTGACAGGTAGAGACTATTTACCTCACATGGGCCATTTGACGTATATACAATGCGAAACTTTAAACCAAAATAACTAGAGGCGCCAGTAAGATTCAAGAATCTGATCTTGGAATTTTACCATCAAAAGCACAGCGGAATTCGATTGGGACTAGAGCGTGATTATTAGATTCTAAGAATGTTCTTGATAAAATTGATAAAACAGCTGACTAGTATTACTTACCGATGACCATTCGCTAGATATCCATTCAATGCTGTGACTACGACAGGGCGGGTTTGAGCAAGCCACTATCACAGGTTTGCCGAGTGAATAAGCCAGAGGTCGGATGCTTGAAGATCGTTGAAAACCTTCTCGCTCTTCAATTGAGCCACTTTCAACGATAAAGACAGTTGGCTCGTCACTTCGGCTGTCTATCAGCAAAGAGACATTAGTACCGAGATGATAAAGGCAGTCCGACTCCCCCAGGGTCGTTACAACTGGGCTTTCATCGCGAGAAATTTTGACCTCTTCACAGGCGAGTTGGCCTACACGCTGACCCAAGGAGCAGGTGGTAGAGCACTAGAAATGGAAATAATCAACTTTCAACCATAATCCGGCTTTTTAATATGCCAATGCATGATGCCGATGAATAATCAAACAAAAATAATTAAAACAGTACGAAGTGCTGTTTCCTTGACTTTCTTGTAATATTTATGCATGCTGAGACATTATATTACATTAAAAACCCATGATTCTCATTTAATCATATAGAATAACAATAGTGACATTCACTTGGAGAAGTTTCGTGGTTAAGTACGCCGTTACTCGAGAAAGACATGAAATTGATGGCGCAATCTAAAACGACCGATTTTCCACCGGAACTAACGCTCTAGTACCAGCATTATAAATTGGTTATTTAATGTGCTTCTTGGCCACCACCAATTGGCATTAACTGCTGGCATACGCAGATGTGAGGGAATCAACAAACGAGGTTCCAAATGGATGATGTCAATAGTTCGGGAAATTATTTCCAAAACAATTGAGACGATCATTTGAACACAAAGAACTTATTTTCAGCATTCATAAAAAAGCTTCAGATTTCACCTGTTTTGCATTGAAAGGTTAAATAAGCAGTAATTACAAATCGAGATCAAAGATTTGAACCCAATCTCCACAAATCTCTTCCATTCCAATTTATTGACGACCTTAAATATTCTCTTCGCTAATGAGCCTCATTTTCCTGGTGGGTAAATAGTCCTCTATAATAATTTCAAATAGCCACATGTTGTGGCATTCAAAATTTCCATTTTTCCAAAAAAATAATAGCTAAGATACTAGAAAATATCCACTCCTCACCGACATTGAGGAATGAAAGATATGCGCACATATTATGAATGAAAACGACATATGGAAGAAGTATTTTAGAATAATAATGTCAACTTTCTCTATTCTTTCTTCATAAATGGGATATCCTGCGCAATCAACTTGGCCGAGAGTTGACCAGAAAAAATACCGCCCTCTTACATTATACAATTATTTTGTTTTATTGTTTTAATGTAGCACTTTATTATCTCGACGCAGATAAAACGCCATCTATTCAACGGAGGGATTACAGCGGAAGTCCGCAAATTGTACTAGATTAGAATTATTGGAGGCACATTAAGGCTTGATCAACACCCCACCTCGTAAGTTAACATCAAATGGTGGGGTGTTGAATTTAAAGCTTTGGTTAAAAGCCATAGCAAAAGCTATAAATATCTGCGTAAATTCGCTTTTTGATTTTTAATTGGACGATGGTGAAGCAAAATCTTTAAATTGATCCTTCCCCCCACCTATAAATCAAACATATAAAATTTTTCGTTATCTGACCAATGCAAGAAAAAATTTGATCTTTATATTATAATATATATATATATATATATAGCAATAAAATGGCCCATTTTGTTTTCATTCTTTGCGCGTAAGATGGTTTTAGTGCATTACATAGCTATGCGGACTAAAAATTTCCACTTTTGGAATTGAAAAAAGAGAAGAAGAAGAAAGCTTTTCTAACCGCAGCAATATCCCTGGGAAATAATGCAGAAATTTATGCTAAATGTGTAAAAGTCTGCAACCAGGTTAGTGGAATGCGAATCGCATGCGCATACATATGGCAATAAATTACATTGAAAATCAAGAACCTCTTTTCACAATCATAAATTTAGAAAGTGCCTTGTTAATGATGCAATGCCAAATGTTTGTAAACTGATTACACAAAAAATAGGCGAATGATTTTTTTACGTACCTTGGAGAAGTGAACAACCGTCCATCTGTAACATGTGAAGTCCACGGTACAGGATTGCTGTTCTGGAGGTTTGGGAAGACCTGCCCGTTCACAGTATTGTTCCGGAGCTTCCCGTTGATCTTCTTCATTGGATCCAGAGCTAAGAATACATTTTACGGATCGAGATCGAACCCCTGCGAGGGAGGAACTACTTGGGATGGTCTGCGGTTTCCTGTAGAGCATTTGTCGTAGAGTGGAATAACAAAGAGCTCCTGTGTCGCTGTAACCAGTATTCTGCCTGCAATCAGACCACGAGGAAATGACCCATTTAAATTCTCCACCGCATCCGCTAACTTCAAAGCATTCGGCTGATTCTGTACCGACGTAGTTGTCGACACCATCTAGGGTGTGCATGGAATCCGAGGGGATACTCTTCAAGCATTCGGTTAGCGGCCAATGCTCACCCATATCGTCTACACACGTCACGCTTCTCTGTTTCGTGCTTGATCCACACTTTTCTGAACACTATGACATTTAAGCAAATAAACGTGATTAAATGGCCATTTATTCAAGATTTTAGGAAAAGCAGCTTTACGAATCCTCTCAGGAACTAGTGTGTTGATTTGAGCAATTTTGCCTCATAAACGGACATGACGGAGTAAATAAGGTTCTTAAAGGTGCATTGTCCGAAATATTTTGAGCCAAAAATCGCTTTATGTGCGATTGAATACTTCTGGATGGATGAAAACCTTGCCTATTCTCATCGTCTAGACTATCCAAAAATGGTATGAATGGCACGCAAACACCTTAAGACCACCGGCTCTGTGACAAAACGAGTACTCAGTATGGCTGAGTCGTTCATTTGGCTATTCAAATCCCATGTCATTCAATCGGTAATCAGTCGGCCACTAGATGACCAAGTAAACTAATTCGGTAGAAGTTGGGCGTAATCGATTTTACCAGAACACCTTACTTTATTTCATGTCGTAGACGTCATTAGTTTTCGATGGTTACAAGTACCCAATTGCAGTGGGCAAAAGAAGAAGAGCAATAAATTGTAGATTCTTTCCTGTAAACTCAGCAGATTTACTATTGGGAAAATAGGAGGGGAAAAATGAGAGAGCGAGAGAGAGAGAGATTAATCCTCAATTAGAACAGGAAAACATCCAGGGCCTAACCAGAAGTGACTCACTGCATAAAACCCGAAAGCAGTAGGGAAAAAATGAGAGGGAAAACTGTCAATGTGACGGCAAATTCATGGTAAACATGGTGAATAGAACAAGACCTACCTCATGCCAGTCGGAAAAGACCCATTGCAGAGGCCTACAACTACCGCTGCATCTGTTTGTTATAACTCGATCCTCAGGTGGTTCACCTAACTCCGCTTTGATACAGGCGTAAGCGCCCAGAGAACTTTCTCGCCAAGTGATATAGGCCGAATCTCTCTCTTGAACCTTCTCTTCGCACACTGCTGTGAAACGGACTTCAGAAACTCCCTCTCCACATCGTGCTGAACAGGAGGATTGGGAGGCGGAATTGTCGGAGTTATTCACCTCCTTCCACGACCATCGCACACCGCAGTAGTCAGCGCAGTTTCGTGTAGCAGCGGCAGGTCTGGACTCCTCTCCACAATAGCGAGCTGATACGGGATGGAGAGGGTGCATACCATAACGTTTGGCTGCAACTACAGATGTGAATACTGGGTAGCAGGAGGCGTGACTTTTCACAATCCCTTCATGGAGAAAACAAAAATAAGCTTTCGTGAATTATTGGTACGGTTGTATTATGCCCTTCACTTCTTATTCTACAATTTTTTGCGAGGTAAAATCGTACTGAAACATGATCAACGGATGAATTATGTAGTTATTGGGAGGCAAATGTATTTGCAAGTTTATCACCCTTAAAAATCTCGCCGAAACTTCATAGCAGTTGGAAAAGAGCTTTTGGTGCGAAGACAGACATTAAGAGAGAACGAATACAGGTTGCCTGTTCTTTTGCTAGAACAGCTAAATGTGCGAAATTTAAAACTCCAAGGCAAATTACTTGTGGCGGCATCTATCTCATTCAGAGAAAGAGGGGGGGGGCCTTAAAATCATCCAATTTCATCAGACCTACCAGAGCAGCTAGTGCATTCTTTCGGAACTTCATCCATTTTCCATTCAAAGTGAATGGGTTCATTCTGAGTCCGTTGATAAGTTGCGACGGCTGACGGCTCTTCTACGGGAGTGTCTTTGCGTGGTGATCGAAGGAATGGAAGAAGAGGGTCGCTAGAATGGTAATCGTCTGGATTAAAACGAAGATCTTTTGAACCTTTATCAACGTAGTAGGTATAATTCACATCTGGTAAAGGCTGTGTTGTGTCCTTATTTTCAATTCTGATCTGAAATATGCAACATGCGTAGTAATTAATTAAATGGATTGCCAATTAGAATAGGGACGAATAAATTAATGTCGTACATTGAATAAACAATTGAAAATAATAATTGAATTAAAGCGATCTGGGTTCTAGTTGAACGTAGAACTAGTCGTATCTTTGTTCGGAAAAAAAGCCACAAAACGTACATCCTTCAGATTAAAATGAGTTGTTATTACCATTTGCAAACAATCGGTTGCTAGAATGTTAACCACAATCAGCATTCACTTAAACAAATCGAAATTGACAATGCTTACTAATTTATGCTATTCATTTACCAGGGCGATTCTTCTAATTCCGATTGGATACTCAACAAAATACTCAAGTGACTGCGGTAAAAATGAAAGTTTAAAACGTAATAACGAATTTCCGCTAATTTTAAACATTCAAAAAGCATTAGTTGCTTTTTGCCCTCAGGAAAAAAGTTGCTTCTTGGAAAAAAAAGAAACAAACACTTTGCACATGTTGCCAATAAATATTTCACTTGGAGTGGAAAAGCTCAATTTCATTTTTTTCTTAAATTACTTTTCTTTATACGAAGACGTGTATGAAGATAAAAGGCATTTGACTTTGATTGAATTTGCAAACTTTCAAAAAAAACCACTTACTTCTTCAAATTCCTAATACCCAGTATATATATATGTATATATATATTTGCATAAAGCGCAGTCCTGAAGGAAGAAGAAACGAATTCTAAGTCTTGAATCGAATTTTTGTCGTCAGTGCGAGATTCGAACTAATTTTAGTCGCCACGAAAGCGTGGAATGTCACGAAATAGTAACCAACAGTACTGTTCTATAAAAAGCGCCCGGCTATTTCTAAAACATAATCTATTCTGAATCGAATACTTCTTTTCGCTGTCAAACCATGCATGCCAAAATAATTCGACACGGCAAATATTCATTTGCAACGAATTTTGACTATATAATACACGGCGGCATAAGGATGAGATTTGAAATAGGGAAGAGAGATGAGGGGGAGTGAGAGGAAAGGCTTCGGCAATTGGATTTCTACGTAACTCTGGTTGCAATGGATCTCACTTCTTAGGTGGAGCTGCAAATTTCAGCTCAGTGACATTAAAGATAGGGGAGCTTATAAACCCAAATAAATCCTTTTAAATTGATAGATTTAGACTTAGGCTTTCTTATACTCTCAAAGGAAATCAAATAAATTTGTAAACCGCATGATTATCAAAATTTTGTAATCGAAAATCGATATTGGCTTAATTCCATGGTAAGCCCAATTTTAAATGGATAAAGCGCTTTCTTATTAAAAAAAGGGCAATAGTGTCACTTCGTTACTAACGATGAGAATTTCAAAAACCTGAATCTGAAATCACAATAAGTCTTGAATACAATCGCTTTCAGGAATGTGTGAGGTCAATGCGAAAATTGTTGTTCGTAAAAGGAGAATATCTGGCACCTTCTCAACTCGAAACAAATGTGTTGAAATTGCGTTCTAGTGGGTTGATAAAGTTGATCAAATGTGGCACAATAAACCAAGAAATTCTCATGAGAATACATTGTACTCTAATTCGAGGGAATTGGCGTATCTAATTTCTTTTAATGTGCTGAAGTTAAATAATCAATGAAGCTAGAGTGTAATTTAAAGGCTAAGGTTTTGCGCGAAAATTCACCCATTTTTAATTAACCCACGTAGATATTGAAAGTCTCAATTTTTTGTTGGATATTTCCATTTCCCATAAACGCTTCAACCAGATAGATATTTCCTTCTGCATTAACAAATTTGATAAACAACGACTCCGCTGTTCGCCTCACACTCCCAATGCAACCCGGCTAAGGCAGTGTTGGCGATTGGTATTCGCAAAGTAATAATAATAATAACTTGTGAGACTTACCAAAATATTGACATTTTTGTTGATGCGACCTTTAATGAAGACAATCTCCTCCTTCCTTCGACTTCCACTGTAGTAGAGTTCCGCTCCGGCGAATGGTTCTCTAGTCTCGCCTCGACGAATTCGCGTCTTCAACTCTTCGAAGATCACTAGAAGTGGATTAAAACCCCCAAGAGAAACACATTAATTCCCTTGATAAGAGGAAAAGAAAAGAACACTCCTTTGTTTAAAAAAAAGGAGAAAAATACAACTTGACCAGTCTTGTTGACTATTGGAGAAATTATGCCAAAAAATGGAAAACAATCTGGTCCATGTTTTTTTTATGGAACCGATCAACGTTGATAAGCAATTTCAACCCAACTACGATATTATTGAAATAAAGGTATTTTGATGAAACAAGTAAAGACAAGCTTCAGTAATTGCTACATAACTTTACTACGCACCTGGCAAAACACCTTCACAGATTAGGAGTATACACTCACTCAACATGCCCCCTACATGTGACCTCCGGGAGGGAATTGAGAAGACCCACTTGATGCGTTGTCCAGCCCTAAAGACAACGACGGAAAGCCAGAGATACTGAGAAGCAAGAGGAGAGCTATTGAACTGCCATTAGTTAACTGCTGAAGTTAAAGTCTAAGGGCTTATGATGAATATCATAAAGCCTGTCATTTGAAATAATAATGATAACTTTACTCTCCTGATTGTATAATCCTTAACTTCAAATTTATAGTTTAAGTAAAGCGATTACAATATGTAAGCTTATGGTTCATGATAAATTATGGTAGATTGTATTGTATACATTAATATATTTAGCGTGGAGATGTGCGATAGACTTACCTCCACGTGGTGCACCCTGGTCAACGTATACTCATACGGCAAAAAAGTCTATTAACCGGCATTTGACTTCTGACTTCAAACTACCATGACCCCCCTGGTTGTCATATTCGACCCCTTCCACAGTACTCACCTTACCCTTTTCTCTACCTTTGTGTCTGTCTGCCTCTTTTACATCTGTGAATCGCTCTTTTGTACCCCACCCCTCGACTTTCTGCTACTTTGATTCCCCTCCTCCTATCTGTGAAGCCCGAAGTCAGCTAAATGGCTAATGACATCTATCAAAACGCCTGCCATTTGAAATAAATAAATATTTAGCGTTAAAGGGGTAAAAAATGAATTAGATTATCTCACAAAGCATGAANCCCACCGCAGACATTGCAATTGTCTGTTTGCATTCGAGACCCGAGCACCCTATCACAACCGGCTTTCTATAAGATTAAAAAAAAACACATTAAGATAATAATAATTATTTTATTTTATTAACTTCCTCCTCCAACAGGGATCTTCGGCGGTCTTTTAAAACTGTTGGATGGTCACCTTGTAAAAGTTCTCATAATTATTCCCGTTAAATAGAAGCGTGGCAATCTCTCTCATAACTTATTTATTTTTTCGGGGGTGGGGGTTACGCGAACAGCTGAGAGTTTGGTTAGCGGCCGAACATGCTGGAGATGGCATTTATCAGTAGAAAGTACTAACCCACTTTACAAAGCACAAATCTGAGATGCCGATACAGTATCCTAGGGAATAGTTGTGATCCTCTGAATTGCAGTTATGGATAAATGCTTCCAGGAGGAAGCAAATGCCAATAAATATTTACGTCAACTTCACTTTTATTCATAAACGCATCTTTTGCCACTAATTATTATCACACATACATACATACACACACACACACAGACAAGCGGAGCATGTTAAATTAACCCAACTATTTGGTTTTTGATGCTTTACTGTCAGAAACAAGACTAAAAATTGCACTTTCAACACGTTCTAATCACTTTTTTTCGTGCAATGTAGTCGCTTTCGCTAGCTGCTAAAAAAACGAAAAGACCTCTTTTTGTACATTCTCATTGTGATGTGAATAAGCAGAGCAACTTTGAATATTGATGAGTGCGGAACCGTTAAGCAGTTTGCATTAAAACAAAGAACACAGAAGTCAGTCTCAAAAGAATTTAAATTTAATTCCTTTTTCTTCCTTATTAAATCTAGAAGGTACAAAAGTCTTAGATGTGTGCACACGGGTCTGGGGTGGATGGCTAAACTCCGACGTCTTCATTTTCAAGTAAAACAGTTTATAAATAAGGGTGGTTTAAACAAAATGATCTTAATTTTAAGGTATGGGGTGTGCGATAGCCTCACTTCCACGTGGTGCACCCTGGGCAACGTATACTAATACGGCAGAAAAGTCTGTTAACTGGCAGTTGACTTCACCCTTCAAACTATCATCACTCCACTGTATGTCATATTCGACTCCTTTCACAGTACTCACCTCACCTTTTATCTACCTTTGTGTCTGTCTCTTTACATCTTTGAAACACTCTTCTGTTCCCCCCCCCTCTCGACTTCTTTGAAACACTCTTCTGTCCCCCCCCCTCTCGACTTTAATCTTTGAAACACTCTTCTGTTCCCCCCCCCTCTCGACTTCTTTCAATTTGATCTTCCTCTCTCTGTGAAGCCTGGCTAACCCATCAAAACGCCTGCCATTTGATATAATAATAATAATAACAATAATAATAATAATTTCAAGGTATTATAAATTCGAAAGTGGAGAAGGTTAGTGAACTTACCCAACACTTTCCTTTTACACAGATATCCGGTTCGGATGAGTAGCAGGGCGTACCATCAGGAAGGCTCTCGTTGTGCTTTACTTCCTTCATACCATCAAGACAAACGAGTTTGCAGGCGTTCGAATTACCGGCTTGACGGAGGTAATGGGAAAAGAAGGGCAGGTAATTTAAATAGATTAAGGGAAACAACTTTTAACTAGCAAGAAAGGAGAAGGAATGAGTCATCAACACTAAGATAGTTGCGGATAACACTTTGGATGGAGCCGCTCTAATGACTTACTGTTGGGTTTTAAGGCCTGCAAACGCTTGTTGAACTGCCTCCCAACTCTATCACAGAGGTCTTGACGAATATCCACAGGTTCTTGGCAAGCCTAAATTTATAGGGAACAAATAGTTGGCTAAAATATAATAAAGAGGGGCCGGGGGGGGGGAGGGGGTAGGGGAAGAGTAAGTCAAGCGGTAAAACTAACCTGAACATTGCAAGAACGAATGCGAACATTTGTACCAAGACAAGGCTCCCCGCCATTTTGAGGTCTAGGAACAAAGAAAGCACGTACCGCTGGGAGATAATTTGATACAATAGCAAAAGTATAATACATATTGTTTGAGGTTTATGGCAAAATAACAGTTGTTCATGAGGGAAGCGAATATTACCTTTGTATACAACGCAAAAATAAATAAATATTACATTGTAAACAGAACCAGGGATTCGGAAGATGTATGGGCTAGGCTGACAACGCGTGTTATCGTTATGCATACGTATATAGGATAGTTTATAACATTTAACTTCCAGGTCGTGGTAGCATACCACTTAAACTTTCCGGTGAGAAATTGGACTTCGACAGCCTTTATTTCATCCAGACATAAGCGTCATTCTTCCCATTAGGCGTACATCGATGTCATGGAACCCACGAAAGCATTATTTACAAATAAGCACACCAGTTATACTTCCAAATTTTAAACCCTACTCCAATGCCGTTTTAAGGTAGACACAACGAACTTCCTTCTGCTTATTAAGCTACCACCCCCCCTCTCTGATCTGAATCTCTAAGTACATACTGAAAGTATTTCTGCTTGTTCGAAAAGAACAAAGTTACAAAGTTATACTTAGTGCAGGTCAGTTTCCTTAACATTGTGTCATAGGCTGAATCAAGTGATATTAAAGCCTTGATAGTCACACGCGAAATGCAGAAATCATCAAATTGAACTAACTCAGGACTTGTGCATTCACGTCTGGAGAACTGGATGCCACCTCCACAGGACCGAGAACAGACTCCCCATTCTTCCCATGCAGACCATCCACCATTTACTGAAGGAATTGTTTCTCCCTCAGGAAGGCATTTACCCATCACACACCACTATAAATGGAAAGGCATTCGATTTAAATTTCTCAGTTTCGGTAAGAAAAGATTATCCGGCCAATTTTACTTACCCGATTGTATCCGCATCGAGACCCTTCTGCCCAAGGTGCCTCAACAGGAAGGCACATTTCTCGTTGAACATCATAGCAGTGAAGTTGCTTGCAGACGGTGAACTACAAAAGGGTTTAGTTACTTCACCTCGCCGTAATTAAAATTTTAGCCCAAATGAGAGTTCTTTGGGCGTTAGTATACCGAATGTCATTTAAGTAATATCCAACCCCCCCCCCCCCCCTCCTTAATTATAATTGACTTCCAACTTGTTAATAAACATGTCCTACGGGTCAGAATGCAGTAAGGTATAATTTAGTTTAGTCTAATTCTCCTTCTAGATCTTTCTGCATAACCCATAATATGCGACGAGCTAGTTCTCACAGATCAAAAAGCGTGCAGCCAAATTAGAAAATATTATAATGCAGAGTATGGGACTTCATGTCTAATTTTTTCCAATTTCAGGAACCGTAAGACTTGTTCTACAATATTCTTCCAAAATAGAGAATAATCTATTAAAGTTGGGTGTGTTAGCAATGTGGGGTGTGTGATAGACTTACCTCCACGTGGTGCGCCCTGGGCAACGTATACTCATACAGCAAAAAAGTCTATTAATCGGCAGTTGATTTCTAACTTCAAACTGCCATAACCCCACTGTTTGTCATATTTCTCCCCTTCCACAGTACTCATCTTGCCTTTTCTCTGCCTTTGTGCCTGTCTGTATCTTTTACATCTTTGAATCACTCTTCTATTCCTCCCCCCCCCCTCGACTTTTTGTCACTTTGATGTCCCTCCTCCCCCTTCCCTCCTCTCTGTGAAGCCCGAAGTCAGCTAAAGGGCTAATGATAACTATCAAAAAACGCCTGCCATTTGAAATAAATATATAAATAAAATATATATTAAAGTTGAATGACACCACAGTACTATCCCTCTCACACCGTATATCGGAAAGGCAAGCAAAACTCCACCACCAGATCGCAGAGAAACAAACTTACACTGTGTCCACAAAACTGCGATTCCTTTTGCCTTAGTGCAATAGCACATTGCTGATTGAGGGTAAAATTCCTACCGGGTTTGCTTCTTTGTGTCAGGATATTCAACTTCTCTGCTGTGAAGGCATGATATTGTGAATTTTGCACTCGAAGACAGGAAGAGTCAGGTCGACTGAAATTGAGGAGGAATTTAAGTTTTGAAAATGGCAATTGTAACCATAATCTCTTGGGGAGGGGAGGG